CTGGGCTCCCTGCACCCTCAGTGCCAACTCCCTGGGGGTCTTTGTCCCCTCGGTGCCCACTCCCTGGGGTCCCTGCACCCTTTGTGCCCAGTCCCTCTTGTCCCTTCACCCTCAGTGTCCACTCCCTGGGCTCCCTACACCCTCGGTGCCAACTCCTTTGGATCCTTGCACTCTCGGTGCCCACTCCCTGGGGTCCCTGCACCCTTTGTGCCCAGTCCCTCTTGTCCCTTCACCCTCAGTGCCCACTCCCTGGGCTCCCTGCCCCCTCAGTGCCCACTCCCCAGGCAATCAGAAAGCGCAGAAATCGTGTTTAGAGGTGGGAAAACCCCCAAACCCCCTCAGGAGATGGTCGAGTGTGCTGGGGGGGGGAGGGGATTGTGAGGTGCCAACCCCTTTTCCTGGCACCATCTTGCCGCGGGGGCACGACCCACCCCCACCCCCTCTTATTTTATCCCTCCTGCCTCAGGTCTGGTACATGGACGGGTACTACAAAGGCCGTCGAGTTTTGGAATTCCGCACCTTGAACGACTTCGTGACGGGGCAGAACTTCGTCCAGCACCTCCTGCCCCACCCCTGGGCTGGCACGGGCCACGTGGTCTTCAACGGCTCCCTCTACTACAACAAATACCAGAGCAACATCGTGGTGAAATATCACTTCAGGTCCCGCAGCGTCCTGGTCCAACGCAGCCTCTCGGGGGCGGGGTACAACAACACCTTCCCTTATTCTTGGGGGGGTTTCTCCGACTTGGATTTCATGGTGGATGAAAACGGCCTCTGGGTGGTTTACACCACCAACCAAAACGCCGGCAACATCGTGGTGAGCCGGTTGGACCCCCAAACGTTGGAGGTGTGGAGGAGCTGGGACACGGGGTACCCCAAAAGGAGCGCCGGGGAGTCTTTCATGATCTGTGGCACCCTCTACGTCACCAACTCCCACCTCGCCGGGGCCAAGATCTATTTTGCCTACTACACAAACACTTCCAGCTACGAGTACACGGATATTCCCTTCCACAACCAGTATTCCCACATATCCATGCTGGACTACAACCCGCGGGAGAGGGTGCTCTACACCTGGAACAACGGCCACCAGGTCATCTACAACGTCA